TAGAAATGAGATCAGCGAGGGAGTGGGAAACTTTGTCTAGCTTGCCCTATTGCTAATGATTTGTTAGATGGAATATAATTAAGGGTTATTGTTTGGGAACCCCTTAAAGGTGAAGGGAATTCACCTTTTTAATTCCACCACTATTTTCTTTTTTTGTTTGCACTTAGGTATTTTTGAGACATTATTGATGTATCTATGACCTCACTGAGAATGAAAAATTATTCTGTGCGGACGCCGAATGCGCACCGAAGACCAACCAGAATACCCCACGTCACCCCTGTTAGGTACTGCTTTGTACTACGGCTCGGTATTGCTCGATACTGCTGATGTGACTGCACTTGATAGGCCTCTAGATATAGAGCTACGTACGGTGTCTGCACATAATAATCTCTCCTTGAGAAGACCCGAGTATAGGAATCCCTGATGTGTGTGTGAGACTTATTTTTATGAGAATAACCTAAATAAAAGAAATTCAAGTAGATTGAGTTATTAGATATGAAGCTTTTCTTGCACCCTAAGTCGTCGGCCTAAATTGAGTTGTAAAGATGATGATATTTCTATGGGAACAATAGAGAAAAATACAAGTTTTTGAAGAAAACGAAAGGAAAAAATGTCAAGCAAGAATTTTTTAGATTCAAAAGAGACCATAAACTACCAAAAAAAAAGTTTTACTCCACAAACATGAAATAAAAAGGCCATGCTCCAATTGTACAAAATCACCATTCTCTCGCTTCCACTTAAAGCTACTCGAGCCTTTCTATCTTTATCCGTTCGTACATATTTTACTCGATATTTGGAGGTGAATCAACAACGAGGAATGCAAAAATTAAAGGGTAACAACTTCTCGCATCAAATGATCAAAATGAAAATCTAGTTAAAATGCTAAAAGCAAATTTACTCATCATTTGAAAAGAAATCAAATTGGCACATCAAGTAATACATTAAACTAAGCAAAATAACTCCATATAGGGTTGAATACTGGAAATAGAGAAAATTACATAAATTCTCTTAGAATATTTGCTTGAGTATGATAGTCCCTCTTATTACTTTATTTCAACATCCTAGTTTATAAATTCTACATTATAGTGAAGGAAAAAGCTTATGGATTTATGATTTTTTGAGACTTTTCATGTAAATTATTTAAAGGCTTTTTTGAATGAAATCAAGTGTTCATCCAATCGAATTCATCCTTTGGAAGCTTCTTGTTTGGTCATATCTCATCTCTCTCAATCTCTAAGTTTTATTTAAGTGCTTTACATTTTTTTTTTTTTATATTTTCAATTATTATATTAGAGATTCATTGCTTATTTTAAAGTGATTTTCATTTAGGATTTGTTTGGGATGACTTTCTTACTGTTTCTTAAAGTAGCTTTTTAATTAAAAAATTTTAATTTTATTTCTAGAAAGCTGTTTTAAAAAACAGTAAGGAAGCTGTCACAAATGAATCCTTAGTCACCCCCAAAGTACAAGAGAACTCTAATTTGGCATTCTTTTTATGAACCATAGATTTTGTGCAAAATGGATCATGGTAGTTGTGTAAAAATCACGTGCATTTGTCAAATTAAACATTGTATGTTATTGCCCTTTAATGAAGATGATGTAAAAGTTTCTCAACTTAGACATTATTAGGGACAGCTTTCTTGCTGTTTTTTTTTTTAAACGGCATTGTAGTACAAAAATTTCTAGTTTAAATAATTTTTATACTAGAAAATTGCTTTAGAAAGTAGCAAAAAACTATCCCAAACAACCCTTAACAATGGCAGGGGTGTACAGTGGCAGGAGGCGGAGAACGATGCCAGACGGTGACCGACAGGGGCCAACGACAGAGGTGACACTGATGGTAAGTTTCCAATGCATTTGAAAATCACCCAAATTTAAGGAATTCCAAATATAATGAATTTAAACTAGATGTTAAATTTCTTTTACTTCAAAATTTTTACTCTGCATTTCTTTTACTTCAAACCAAACATCAATGTATTTTTTTGGACATTTATGTCATTTAAGACAAACTCGCATACACAAAGGTTCGAACCCAAGACCTCTTTATTGGTAGCCTAAGCTCTCAACCAACAGGCCAATGTGAGCTTTGTAACATCAATATTTTCAAAACCCCTACTTGTGGAATACATTACACTCCTTATGCAGCACACCAAACAACCCCAAAGTATGTCTAATTAGTTAAATTATTGATCCTTCTATTTCATAACAAATTTTGACTATAGTTAAATAACTTTCCCATTAATTTAGGAGCTAAATAATAACCACACGTAAATCACCTAAGCCATTAGCGGAGATTATTAGGTTCAGAGTGCGGACGGGGAGAACTGTCCGCACAACCCTTATTCTACGCTAGGTACCGGCACTCGGTAACACAGGATACCGCTGGGTACCACTAGGTACCCATGTTTGTGCAGACGGTGCACACTCCGCACCTAATACTTGACGCTAGCGGAGGCACGCTGGGTCCTAAGGGAACAAACTCCCACTTAAATAGAAATTTAGATATAACTTTTAAATTAGCTTAATCAGTTGGTTAAAATGAAATTATTTCGAAGCACTATCAACTAAGAGAAAAAAGAAAAGAGATAAAAGATAATTTTATAAATTCTATTTAGATTGTGATCAATCAATATATATGATCAAAAAATTGATGGTGATAAAAATAAAAATGATAATTAAATATATGAAAAATTTTAAAAAAATAATTATAATAGAGTTATATTTAGAATAATACACATAAAAAATAAAAAATAAATTTAAAGATGGATAGAATTAAAATATGATAATTAATTGATGGATAGAAATAACACAACTCTCCTTGGCCTATTGGTTGAGAGCTTTGGCTTTCAACTAAGAGGTTTATAGTTCGAGTCTATGTGTATGCGTTGAGTGTGTGTGTTTGTTGGACTGACTGGTAGTAGTTTTTAACAATTAAATAAAATATTGAAAGAAAACACAAATTTCTCGAATTTTTTAAATAAAAAATAAAAACTGGAATTCAAAATATAATTTTATATCATTTTTTATATAAAATAGATATGTCAAATAAAATCAAACTCATTATCTTTCTATCATTTATTATTATATTTTTATAATTTCTTTTATTCTGTTTGTATTTTTTTATTATTTAATGATAATATAAGTTTAATATTATTTTTTCTTTGTCTCTTGGAGGGCGTCAGGACGGCTAAGTAGGCTCAATTTACCAGCTACGGCTGTTGCAGAAGCTCGATTTTTGAGCCCCATGCCTTTCGTCACTCTGCACTCTATCTCTGATTTATTTTGTATCTATCTGCAGCTTCTTATTACCTTCTACATCTCTCCGATCTCTTATTATTAGAGAGAAATTATTTCATGCAAAGTTCACATAGGAGAAATATATTCGGATGGCTAAGGACATCTCCAACCGAACTGCAAACACTTGAATGACGTCCCTGACCAGGTCCAGTCGAACCGTAAATTTTTCGTTATTTGGCTGCGGGTGAACAGTGAGACGCCAATATTGGTGTTGCACTGTTTATCTCTGCCATTTTTACCTCTCTACCGAACTTGGCGCGAGAAAGAAGAGATGACCGTTACCTGCATAAGTGTGAAAAGTGGAGTTCAATTAGAGATGAATTGCAGTATTTTGTAGTTTCATGACATTTTGGAGTAAAAAATGAGATTTTCGGTTGGAGATGCTCTAAGTATACATATAATGTATAAATGACATATTGTTTTGCGAAATAATTTCACTTTTTATTTATTTAGGACAACTTTTTTTTATTGTTACTTCAAATATTTTTTTAATATAAAAATTAAAATTTTGATATAAAAAAGATGCTTTAAAAAATAATAATAAAGTCATGCCAAATAAAACTTTGGACTCAATTTGATAAATGATTAATGGATCAAATGAGTAAATAAGCCAATTTTGACTCAACTCATCTTCGTGTGAGTTAATTCATTTACAAAATATTTAAATTTTATTTTTCTTATTTTAAGTGATTTTAATTATCCTTATTTAATATTAATATTTATATTTCCTTAAAAAATATAGGTGATTAAAACATTAATTTTATCACTGTTTAAAAAAATATATATAATTAAATTTTAATACTCAGTAGTCACATATTGAAATAATGTAGATTTTAGAAATTGAGATATTTTATTTTTTAGTTTTATTCAAGTTGAGAAAAAAATGATCGATTTAAATTGACATGCAAGTTATAGAAAATTGACGAGGGAGTGGTGATATGTATCTAATATTAAAATATTAAATATTAGACATATAAAAATAATAATATATAGTGAAATGTATGTAAATCTAGTTGTGTCAATTTTTAATATGACCCGAAACACGATCTGAATCTGACCCGAAAAAATTCGGGTTATGGTCAACCCGAACCCGAAACTGGTCTGGTTCGGGTTCAACAAATCAATCCGTTTTAAAAATCGGGTCGGGTTAGGGGTGACCCAACAACACGAAAATGACCCGAAATTGACACAAAAACTCTTATTTGACCCGAAAACCCGAGATTAACCCGTTTTGACCCAAAAAATCGAAGATTGACCTAATTTTTTACCCGAAAATTTGCAATTTTTGGTCAACTTCGGGTCATTCGTGTCGGTTTGATTTAACCCGAACCTGAATCGGGTCGGCTTCAGGTCCGGAAACTTGACCCGTTTTTAAAAACGGGTCAGAATCGGGTTGACCTGAATAGTGCCGGGTCAGTTCCGAATTCAGGTCGAACCCGACCCGTTGACCCGAATTGACACCCATATGTAAATCCACTAAAATACAATTTCAACGTCCCATCCTTCTCACAAAGCCTCACAGCCCCCCAACTAGCAACCCTATACCCCAAAAAAAATTGACACGTAAAATATCAATTCAACCCATAATTATGATAACTAACCTTCACAAACTTCATCACCAATCAGTATAAATACCCCCATTTCCTCCTCTCCCCAAAGGATAATCACTAAACTCCCTTTAATGAAGCAGATATATCCTCCCCTCTTCTCTGCTCCTCTCAAGTGATATACAGAGCTCTTTACCTCTTTCTCTATCGCCCTCCTTCCATGACTTGCTGCAGAGAGATGGAAGGCAAGCGAGCCCACGACCCGACGGGCTCAACAGTATGGGTTTCTGGCCCGATAATCGTAGGAGCCGGGCCCTCGGGTCTCGCCGTCGCGGCCTGTCTGAAGGCCAAAGGAATACCGAGTCTAGTTATAGAGAGAAGCCACTGTATTGCTTCGCTGTGGCAGCTGAAGTCGTACGACCGACTTCGGCTTCATCTTCCTAAGAGCTTCTGCGAGCTTCCGCTTATGCCTTTCCCTGCAGAGTTTCCGACTTATCCGACGAAGGAGCAGTTCGTTTCACACCTTCAGTCCTACGCCGCAAATTTCAAAATCCAGCCGGTGTTTGGGGAGGCGGTGGTGAACGCAGAGTATGATATCCGAGGAGTAAGATAGTGTTGTGAATTCATTAAGGATTTGTGTTTGGGGAGGAGGTTTTTTAGAGCTTTATTGATTCTATTTGGCTTTTTTTTTTTTTTTGTAAGATTTAACTGATGAGAAATAGTTTATTGTGATTAGATTTATTGGATTGTGCTAATGAAAATAAAATTATTTTTTAAAATAAATATTGCAATAAATTTTTAAAAATTTAAAATGATTTAAAAAACAAAGTAACGTAAAATTGCCCTGCCCAAATTAACTTGATTAATCATCACATTAATGGTAATCATATTTCTTTTGCAGTTTTGGAGGGTGAGAACGGAGGGGATGGGGAAGAGAAGAGAGTATGTTTCGAGATGGGTGGTGGCGGCGACCGGGGAGAATGCAGAGGAGGTGGTGCCGGATATCGCCGGAATGACGACGGAGTTCAAGGGGACGGCAGTGCACACAAGCAAGTACAGGAGCGGGGAGGTTTATAACGGGAAGAAGGTGCTTGTTGTTGGCTGTGGAAATTCGGGAATGGAGGTTTGTCTTGATCTCTGCAACAATGGAGCTCGGCCAGGGATTGTGGTGAGAGACGCGGTGGGTTTTTCTTCTTTTTATTTATTTATTTTTTATTATTTTTTAATTTTTTTAATAACTCACTTTTACAGTGGGTTTTTCTTCTCTTAATCCTAACGGCTAAAATTAGGGTTTCCTCTTAAAATTTTGTTATTTCCTTAATATTCGTTCATTTTCTTATCTAGTTTAGATTTGAATTTTTAAATATTACCGTTGATATAGCTAAGAAGATATCGAATATGTCACTGTATCTAAAATTTTAAATTATACATTATTCTAATGAGTTTATTAGAAATAAGGTTAGATAAAAACGCACGTGCTACTTTTCCCTTGCCCTAAAGCTTAAGACCATTGGCAATCGCAATCAAACGGCATACATGCAATGCCATCTACCAAATGATCCCATCGAACGTATTTTCGCCCGCTATTCTCCGGGAGTAAACAGTAGGACGTCAATATTGTCATTGCATTGTTTAAACACAATTTTTTGTGTGTTCGGGATTTGTCTAGAAAACGCACGAAAGAGGAGAAAGATTGTTACCTTTTGACAGCGAGATGAAGAACCGGACAAAATAGAATTCAATTGGAGACAAATTACTGCTTTTTTAGAGTTTTACTATGAAAAGTGGGTTTTTATGTTGGAGATTGCCCTAAACATGCATCACTTTGAAATCTGAAGGATCAGTAGATAAAAAGGAGTCAGTAAGAAGGTTCTGTCTAATCATTGTAAAAACTTTGTGGTTAAGATTTCTTACATATATTTTTTGTATAGAGTATTCTGATATAAATTTTCTTCTTCTTTTATATTAAATTTTTGTTGCAAGTACTCAAATTAAGAAAAACAAAATCTGGCATGCGAAGAAAGGCAGATTCTCAATGAAAACTCTCTCATTTTCCTTTCTTGGGATTCAAACTTACGCCATAGCAGAAGCCAGAAGGCTCTTTCTCTCGCATATCTCTCTCTCTCGCTAGCTGTTGCCATCTTCTCTCTTTTCTGCTCTTGTTGCAGTACTGACACTGCTTTCTTTCTTTTTTATGAGGGAGAATTTGGGAGAAATTATTAATTGGGGACATCGGACACAGCTTAGTTTATCGTCTAGAGACGAATCAGATGCAGCTACATCATTCAGTATCGAGCTCATTATTGAGCAATACCAAGCAGTACGGAGTTACAGTACCGAATAAGCGGTGACGTGATGCATTTTCATTGGACTATGAATGGTGTTCGACGTCCTCACAGAATAATTCATTGAATTTGAGGGCACTGTACAAGCAATCACATTGGGGAAACTCAAATAACAAATACCAAGACAGTCTTGTCTTTTTTTATTAAGACAAAAAATTTGCTCTGCATTTTCTCATAAAACCCCCCACTGGGGCAATAGAAAAAAGCTACTCTTCTATAAATATTAATTATATATTTACTTTTATGGACCACATGCCATATATGTAATATTTTTATTTCATGTAAGATAAGCGTCTACGCAAATAAATTTACAAGATTTTACAAAATTCTGAAACTTTCACATTGAGTATTAGCTTTCCTTCTACTCTTTTTGATCTCTTTTGATGGTTAATAAGTATAGAACTTACGTTAATGACAGGTTCACATACTGCCCAGGGAGATGCTTGGCCAGTCTACTTTTGGTCTGTCAATGTGGTTGCTCAAGTGGCTACCCGTACAAATAGTGGATCGTCTGCTACTATTCTTCGCCCGCATGATGCTCGGGAACACGGCCCGGCTAGGGCTCCGGCGACCCAAGCTCGGGCCTCTTGAGCTCAAGGGCTTGTCAGGAAAAACACCAGTTCTTGATGTTGGCACCCTAGCTAAGATCAAGTCAGGAGACATCAAGGTTTGTTTTTAAAACTTGTACAAATTGATTGACTAAGGTTTCGTTAGGGACGGCTTTCTTACTTCTTAAAATATTTTAAGAAATAGTAATTAAGCCATCCCAAACGAAGCCTAAATTTCAGCAATCAATTTGTAAGATTATAATCCTGATTTCTAGTTATGATTTGTATTGAATTGTTTTACAGGTTTTTCCTGCAGTCACAAGATTCACAGCTGAAGGGGCTGAGTTTGTTGATGGGAGATCAGAAGATTTTGATGCTTTGATCTTAGCAACTGGGTACAGAAGTAATGTGCCATCTTGGTTAAAGGTAATTGCTCCTATATACGTTTTTTTTTTTTTTTTAAAATACTTTTTTCAATAGGCTCTTTTTAAAAATTTTAATGAGGAATTTACATTTACATCACAAATTTCTATCTATCTACATATCTAATACTTAAAATTTTATATTAATTACTTATAAAACACTTAATTCTTTAAATATATAAAACACTTAATTCTTTAAATAAGATAAAATATATAACTAATTTTAACATATTTGAAGTAAAAAATATATTTTCATGCATACATTTTAATATGTTTTAAATATTAAATTAATATGTAAATAATTAAGATTATATATAATATATATATATATATATATATATATATATATATATATATATTCTCCTGTTTTTTTGCCTGTCCTTTTTTTTTTTTCTTAATCCCACTAACTTTATATCAAGAGGCTTCTTTATTGACTATTACTGCTGCAACGTCAAATCTATATAACATAGTAAATTTAATTTATACATTTCTTATTGCTTAATTAAGAAAGGAACTTACTGATAGCAGGAGAAAGATTTGTTCTCAGAGAAGGATGGTTTGCCTAGGAGGCCCTTCCCCAATGGATGGAAGGGAGAGGAGAGGGCTCTATGCAGTTGGTTTTACAAAGAAAGGCTTGCTCGGTGCTTCCATTGACGCTTCGAGAATAGCTCAAGACATTGAGCTATGCTGGAAATCAAAGGCCCAAGCAATGAATAATATAATTATAATGGCTTCTGCCACCGGCAACAGAACACGAATGGGCTGTTGCAGAGTAGTATTTTGTATATCTTGTAATTTTCCAAGTGGTTTTTTTTTTTTTTTTACTAAGTTGTTAGGCTAATTAACCTTGCTATAGAGAGATAGAGATCAGATCTCTTGTGCAAGATAGGATGGAGAGTGAATAGCAGTTTGATAGATTTAATTTTTTTGTTTGTTTTCCTCAGTTTGCTTTTGTTTGAGTGCTGATGTAGCTTCCTCTGTGCTTGAGTCAAGAGAAAGTACAAAATTTTATATATTCTTTTTTTCTGATGAAAGGGTCAAGTGATCAAAAGATTCTCTCAATCAATATCTTGCATAAAGATCAAAATATACTTTTTATTTTAGAATTGAGCATCAAAATATAATTTATTTTATTTCAAAATAGGAAAAAATAAATTTTTTCTTGGAAATGGGGTATCCATCTGCTACCACCTCCGAGGGCGCTTGCCAGCATGACTAATCCTTGACTGACCTAGAAAAGACATCCACCCTAGAAACCTCCTGACTGACACTTAATTGGGCCCCATTTAAGAGGTGTTGTCACTCGAGAGGAATCGAACATTTGTTGGATGGTTACCGACCGTACTCGCCCACCAACCAAACTAAGCAAAGATGGGTAAGAATTTTTTTCACAATGTCATTGTATGGTCTCTTGATATGACCACTATTAACATTTTAGGTATAGGAATATAGTATTTTAAAATATGTATAAATTTAAATATATATTTCAAATTATCATTGTAGATAATATTTTATTTATGCTTTTTATCTTATGGTCAGACTCTAAAAAAACATCATTATTACTTACATACATGAGTAAATATTTGAATAAAAAATTTAAACATGTAGCCAAAACTCTTTGGTGTATACATTATTAAATATTAATACTTAATATTTGTCATAGACTTATTTATTAAAAAAAAAACAATTATAACTTTACATTATTGAAGAGAACCACCAATATGCAAAGAAAGCTTATATTGGGTATTCCAAATCCATCCCTTGGCTCTACAATTATCTTGCATGTACCTATCTAGATGTTGATAATGAGCTTTCTCTTATTGATATTTCACTTTGGAAGTTGTTCTCCAACCTTTCTCACCAACTTAGCTAACATAAGTGACCTTTATCACCAATATTTTCTAGTAGTGTTGCTAGTGGAAAACAAAAGGTCCAAGTGTTCTCACTCTATTTACTTCTTTATTAGTACAATTGAGTTGTATGATCATGACATGTCAATTTTTACAACTTTTTATATAAGATCTTTGGATGATGATCACATGTTGAGAAATCTAAGCGTTCTTCACTCATCCATACAGAAAATGTTGAGGCAGGCTTAATTGGATTTCGTTTGGGGCAGCTTTCTTATTGCTTTCTAAAGCAACCTCTTAGTACATAAATTAATTTATAGTTCAAGAAAATTTTATATTAAAAAGTTGCTTTAGAAAACAGTCACAAACGAAGCCTTAAAAAAACATAGGTGCTGTGCTTTTATGTCACTAGATCCTTGTGAGTTTATGTAAACTTAAATATATCATAATTAGAATGCCAATTATCTATTATATAAATGTCAATAACATTAATCTTGATCTATTATATTAGTACATACACCTCAAGGACACGCATAATTATGTAGGAGGGGAGCCTTTAGGTGGATCTTCTTAACATCTAAATTTTAAAATGTGGAGTAAGTCAATGAAGGAAAGAAAGTAGAATAGAAGGATTTATAGATTAAGCTCATAGCTAGGGGTGGTTTCTTATATGCCATACTTGCAATATAGAAGACCTCCAAGAAATAGTGATGTGACAAGTAGCTTTGGTCTGGGCATTTGGGTTGTTTCGAGTACTTCTTTTCTTTTTCCTCCAAGTTTGATCCCTTCTTACTCTGTTGTCTTCTTACACAGCAATTTACAACTATTTATTGATGTGTATTGGTTATGTAGTATTACTGTGTACTAGCAAATACACAACAATAACAAATAATACACATCAATACACAACTAATACACATAAATACATAGTAATTATAGTAATATAATAGTCCACACATCATATTTCGTTGGAGTCCAGATGTAGCTCTACGTTCGGTGTCTGCAAATAAAAATTTTTCCAATTTATTAGGATGACCATTAGCTCTTGCATGAACTAGTAAGTTTAAAATAAGCTCAATTACAGAGTTTCTTATCATCTCTTGATTAGTTGAATCCAAATTCTAGAAAAATTGAGGGCTCCCCTAGTCTAGATATGCTTGAAAAAGAACCATATTATGTGATGATAAAAAAAAGCTTGCCAAAAGCATATGATCCTTTTTTCCATGGACCATTTCAAAGAACAAATATAAATATATATAGATCCACCCACAATCATGAATATTTATATAGATACAAAAAATGAATTAGAATATTTTTCTTCTATATTTGTAGTATTTAAACCAAATAGAAACAGATTTCCGAATGGCCCAAAAAAAAATCACTTCTACAATTGAATCTATATCGAATTGAAACAGAAGAATAACTTCATTAGAAGTTGTTGATTTGTTTCTCTATGAAAGAACGCATAAGAAGTTTATCCAAACGCATAATTTTGTTGATTTTCTATTGAGTTTCAGCTCTTGCTGTCAGTGGGGATCCACACATTAATATTCCATAGCTTGACAGCACTGTCTTTATTAGTGATAAGGGGGAGGGAAAGCTAAAGAAGGCTTCCAAAAGGAACATAGGTCTTCAATGGAGTCGACAACGATGCTCATCATGTAGATGAAAATAAATAAATAAATTATATTTGAATACATTGATATATAATATGTGTAAAATAAAAGCTAGCTCTAAGATAAAAAGTATATAAGTGGAAATAAAAGTGAGATTTTTCAGAATGGATATAAGTGTATATACACACACACACAAATTTAACGTTGGCTTTCAACCACGTAACATAATTAAGGATTCATTTTTCTCATCCAGAGCTTGGGACCGAACAACGATAAATTAAAACCAATGAAACAACAAGTATTTTACTCTATTGAGAACTAAAAGTTTCATTAGTCGCAACGGTTTGAACCACTGCAACCAACAAGGCATGAGGGAGCAAGGCGGCAAACCCCTAGGTTGAGGGAGGAAAAACGAGCAAAAGTCAATCTGCTATGTAGCTCATCTTGATCTGTTGGTTGGAGGTTTTAGTTACTAATCAATAAGTGTTT